CGTCCGGCATTCCTCTCCCTGCCAGTGTCTTGTAGAATGCTACTGAATTAGCATCTCTAATTAATTCACAAGATGGATTCTTTTGGGTTTGAATGAAATTCCAGTATGTGGTTAGACCCACTGCTTGACCAAAACTATTTGTGACACATTCAGTTGCCACGTTAGTTGATGACAGAGGAATATTTCAGTCATCAGCTGTATGCAGGTCTATTTGAGCCAGCTGTGGACAGATTTATTTTAAATACATATGTTTTGTATGTTCGTTTCTGTTTATCCATATTTTTGTGAAGTTTGTCTACAACTAAGTCAAACAAAAAGTTTAGGCCCAGTGCTTATAAACAACCACACAGAATTTCAAGCAGTGTGGCATTTTTTCATGAATGGAATATGCCAGACAACCCATCAGTCTGTTATCTTTGCATCTGGGCACCATTATGGCTAGCTCGTTTCAGAGATACGGTATAGTTTCTGCTCCATTTACAATGCATATTTCATACTAACTCTAACATACATAAACATCAACACAAAAGACACCGTTTTAGCTATTCATTAAAATGGGTGTTACTCAAGACACTATTTCACAATCGACTTTCACCTGTCACAGACTATTATGATCAAATAATTAATGAATATGTGTGTTGGTTTGTGGGGTGGCAGGCGGCAGTTTATCATTTAATTGTGGTTTCATCTCTCAGGGCTGTAACACATGGTTAATTTTACCGTTATTTCTTACTAACCAACATCTGCTTCATGGAGAAAGACAGACAGGTGCAGTTAACAAAATTATTGTTATCTGGATGACCAGACATTTTAGATGATGGAAAGCATGTCATATGTTTTTATCTTGGGCATGGCAATGATGTCTTTGATATCCTGTAAAAGTTGTCAATTCAAGCTGTTTTCTCAATTTCTCATTGGCTATTCGTATTACACTGTTATGTAACCCATCAAGCCCAACTTGTCACTTTCCCTTTCGAAGGCTCTGTCTTTGAGTCATGAAACTTTTTGTGTGCTTTGTTGTTCACTACTATCATTGTTGTACATGTACGTCATTTTGTGAAAAACTGTTCATGTAGGTCCTATATTTTATGGGGATTTCCACTGTGCAGGAATAATAACTGCTTAGTGAGACGTTCAATGCATTTATCCATTTATTACAAGCTTCAATTGTGTACAAATAATCCACTTGAATTGTGCATGAAATGCAGCACTCACAGTAAATTTACAGATGAGACATTTAAAAGAATGCATGTAAATGACAGCAGTGAATAAAATGAGTTCACTGGACATGTGCATCTGCACGTGAGGGGAAATAAAAATCTGGAGAAAAAAAAAATCATATCATGTGTCATGTAGGCTATGTCATGCATGTAAAACAATCTATAATTATCCCGTCCATGACTTGTTTCAAAAGTGCATTAAATGTATATTTGAGGGGTTGTGAGTAGAGTATTGGCTAGAATGCCATGCATGTGCAATGACTGCAGGAAGGAGAGAATTTGAGCATTTTTGCAACGTGAATTGAGCAGGAGGAGGGACTGACATTGCCTTTTGGGTGGTCATGACATGCAGTCAGAAGAGTTGTTCTGCTTCATCTGTGTCTGTAGTTCAGCAGGAAAGACTCATGCCAGGGATTGCAGCCTCCGTTATGTAAAAAGTGAAAGTTTTAACCGTGCAAACTAGTTCTATTGATGCCTAAGGCAACAACAAAATCGTCCTTCTTGCATAGGCACAGCCACATGCAGCTGGCACTGTGAGGTGGTTATATTAGTTAGCAACACCGAGAAAAGCCCAAACATGGAACTTTTTTGCTTGGAAAAGGACGCAATCATGCGAGCTCAGAGAGATCCCAACATCTTCTGCGATGAAAGAGTACTGCAAAGTCTTTTAACGGTGGAGGACAGATATGTTCCGCAGAGACCCTATTTTAAATGTGTCCAGAAGGAAATTCAGCCTTTTATGAGGCGGATGGTCGCGACGTGGATGCTGGAGGTTTGTAGTTCCAGTTGTATTGAAACTGTTTGCTTGTATTATAATGTAGAATATGTTGGCAAGTAGCCTACCTAAAGTATGGCTGGAGTTTGGCATGCATTCGTTTTTATTACAGTGCAGACAATCAAACTCAAGAAAACATTCGTTTAAACCTGTATGCGTATAGCATATATGTGTAATCAATGTGCAAAGGAAAAGTTTGATCAAGAAATCAGCAGGAAATGCAACGCTGGAACCTCCACACACGATTATGTATGCTATAAATGTTCATTTAATAGAAAACACTTTAGTATTTTTCTTCAGTGCATGCTTTATTAGACAGATGGGGGTCTGTGCTTTATTTACATGTGTTTTATGAATGGTTTTATACATTTGTGTAATTTTTGCGAATTTTTGAAACAGGCGCAGCCTTTGAGTTTCTCGGAGCGAAAGTGCAGCTAAGAACCGTCGATTTAAATGTATTTCAGTTCATCAAAGCAACATAATAATTGTCGGGTGTAGTTTTATCAGAGCGATACATATACATGATATTATATACTGTCATTGACATTACTTAGTGTTAGAGTATATTTTTCTTAACGTGACGAATCACCAAAGCAGTCATGTGTGGGCGTCATTGGGTTTAACAAATGAATGAAGATCTTTACTTTTGGAAAGTTCCTCTTTCTCATGAAAGAGTTAGTAGGCCTTAACAGTAAGCACATATTCTACAAGCTGCAAATAGTAGCTATAGATAAAAATAATTACATATATAGCCTTCAAAATGCGTAGTAGGCTATATAGTCTAGGGGGAAAAGCATACAAACAAAAAAACAGTAGAATATGAACAGAAATGTCTGGATATAAGAGCATTGAGCTAACTAACTTACAACAACAAAAAAATATGTAGCAAGAACAAACAAATGTTAAATGAATACTAATTATTAGACTGCCTTGATTATTAAATTGTGAATTAATTCTGTCGATGTCCCTGTAGGTTTGTGAAGAGGAGAAATGTGAAGAGGATGTCTTTCCCTTGGCTATGAACTACCTGGACAGATTTTTAGCTGCAGTTCCTACAAGAAAATGTTATTTGCAGCTCTTAGGGGCCGTGTGTCTCTTCCTGGCTTCAAAATTAAAAGCATGCCAACCGCTGTCGGCCAGGAAGCTCTGCATGTACACCGACAACTCCATTACATCTCAACAACTGCTGGTAAGAGGTGATGGCCTTGATGACAGCAAGAAGTCTTCCATCTGTTGTGTAATTATTCAGACCCCAGATTATGTATTTTAGATTATATATAGCCCTTGGTTTGTGATCGGCTGATTCATCATATTTTTATTATTGTGAAATGTAGCTATTGAGGAAGTGAATTTAGCTTGCTTTGCCCCCTAATGTTGTTTTTGATGTTGAACAGTCTTCTGGGTTGAGCTGTGATGAAATGCTCTTTTGATTTTTAGCCTCTGAACAGCTTGAGAACGGTTTTGATGATTTGATACTGTTCCCATAAATTGGCAAGGACTCTCTACTTACATAATACACTCTATTCTAATCAAATATAAGCTGGTAAAACCCTGATCATGTCTAAATCGAAATGAATGAAGCTTTTGGATAAGTGTGTTTAAAGACAGAAGAAGAGAGAGAGAACAGGAAAGACAACTGGGTCAAAACAAAAAGATTTCTTATAAATTGCAGTGGTGATTCTTGTATAAAGCAGATGCATCTGCAGACTGAAGCATCCAGGAGGAGGTGGCTTTAGGGGTCTTGATCTTGGTGATTTGGTGTCTCTTGCCAGGGACTGTCCCTTCTTGGCGGAGTCTTCACTAACTTCAAATTTCTCACACTCTCTCTTCACTTACCAGCACACGCACAACAAGGGTGTAGAGCTTCTCACTTTGGGCTGGTTTTCCCCTTGTGTCTCTGAGTTTCTCAGAAAGCAGCTTCAGCAGGCGAAACAAAGCCAGCTGGGCACGTGCGAGGAAGGAAGTTGAGCGTGTGCATCTGGTTGGTGGAGATCAAACACAAGGGGCGGAGCTTTACATGATAACCTGATTTATTTTACAATTATGATGTCCCTTTAAGCAAAACAGATCCATATTTAAAAAGCAACTTGACTCATTTCTCCCCCGTTTTGAAGAATCACAAGTTGAGTGTTGAGTGACAGAAACACAACCTAGATTGTTTTAAATGCCAGTGTCAGTAGATCCTGATGATTTATGTCACAACTTGTGTTTTATAAAGCAATACATGTCTTTGCATTTTTAAACATTTTAGTCTGGTGTGAGTATGGCATGTAATTGGCTTTTGCCACACAAGATTGACAGACTTTGCACAGTTGAAATACTAGGGGGCAATAAAATAGACTGTAGTCAGGAGTGATTAAGTCAAATACATTATCATTGACAAACACTAGTGGCGTGATGATATCAGATTGTGATAGTTTGTCTAATATTTTTGCAGACACTTTTAACAGTAAAGTCCACATTCACTGTAAAAAATTAATTTTCAAAGTGGTAAATAAAACAAAGTTTATTGTTTTACAAGAAAATACTTGTCAATACTTGTGTTACTTGTACTTGTGTAATTATTTGTGAAATTTACTAACAGTTTCTGAGTTTAAGTAAATCCTAAACCAGTCCACACATGCATGAATAGGCGTGTATAAATTCCATAGGAGATCTAGACAGGTGGAGCTGGTGGAGGTGGAGGGTTTTAGGTGAACCAGTTTACAGCGAACACTGAACCTGAATATTTAAAGGGGACATCAGATGAAATTTTCACTTTTTTAGCTTTTTTTTTGCATTTAGTTAGGTTTCTGGCGTGTCTGCCAGCTCAGAAAAGCTTAAAAGAAAACACACAACCAGTTTGTTATGGGCTGTCTGAGTCTGAAACCATGTCATCCAGCAATCTGTTTAATTTTGCAGCCGGTTTCTATGTAGATAGATAGCTAGCTATTTGAATAAGCCACATCCGAGCCATATACGGAGTCCAAGGCAGCAATTCACATGCCTTGTGTTAACACACCTCAGGAAGAGAGGGGTTGGGGTGAGCTTTAGCTCATTATCATTTAAAGAGACATGCACCGAAAACGGGTCGCTGCGAACAGAGATATTTTGAGGTAAAAAGGGTGTTTTACATGACCATTGAGGAATTTTTAACCAAAGTATGTTACAGACATTTCATGATGACCCTAAAGAATCACAACATCTTGTGGAAAATGGGCATCCGATGTCACCTTTGAATGTTGAGCAAGAAATCGCATTGGTTGCACAATCAGCCAATCAGCTTTTGCTATGTATTAAATGAAAATGAAATGAAAAATGCGAGCAGACTGCATGTAAAGAGCCTAGCGTCTAGATCTATATAATTAATCAATTCCACCGGCAAAAATCTGCACTGAAAATGTAAAAGACCATCTTTAGGTCATCTGGGCTTGCCCTTAACTGAGGTAATAACCAAACCTTTCTGCATCCTGTATGGTCAAAACTAAAAAGGTGGATTGTGGGTAATATAGTCACTTGAGTTTATGTGTGGTCCTGCCACTCGTATTCATTATCTCTTGTTCTGTTTCTGTCTTTCTCTGTCTCTGTTGGAGTGGGAGTTGGTGGTTCTTAGTAAATTGAAATGGAACCTGGCTGCCATCACCCCACTTGACTTTATTGAACACATCCTGCACAAACTGCCCTTTCCCGAAGACAGACTGACACTGATCCGCAAACACGCGCAAACCTTCATCGCCCTCTGTGCAACAGGTAGGACCCGAGATGAGTGCGCTGACTGCATTTGTCAGAAATGTGTCTGAATAAGCTGAAACATAGCCAGTACTGTGCTTATGATGTGAATGTGTTATAATGCTTTCTGCCTTGTTATTTGTGTCTATATAAAAGTTTTGTATATTTAACTGGGTGTGTTTCTGCGGCCTTGCATCTGTTCAAGAGACTGAGGTCTGAACACAAGCCAAGATGGAGGAGCTTTTTTGAGCTATTGCAAAGGTTTTTGGTGTTTTTGTCAGTGCCTTTAACAATTTTCTCAAGTGAGGAATGTTGGTTTACTGCACAGCTGCTGTACTGTGGCAGTCAGTCGAGTGTAGGGTGTTTATTCAAGGATGACTGTTGCGTCCTGAAACAAGCAGCACGCTAACACCAACAAAGCAGATGAAACGAATGACTTCCAGCACAGAATAGCCAAGAGGGCCCGTTCTCAGGATCTCAAGGCAGATGAAGAGGGGGAGTAGTTCCTTGAAACCTCAATGCCTTCTGAGGGATGAAGGGAGGGAGGAAGGAGGAGTGAGAGGAGAAGGAAGGCTCTCCTCACTTTTCATTCACAGCTGCAGGACAATTTAAGGGAGGTAGCGATGTTAAAACAGATCTGAAACCAGAGAGCATGTGAACGTCAGGTTCAGGTTTGCGTGGAATTCAAAACCGATGTAAGATATAGTAAGACTCCTCAATCAGATTGCATTATCACAGCTGTTTCCTGGGAAGTTGTTTTGAAGTGTTTCACAGGTGACTAATGTTCTAGGGAACTTACTGACCAGGTCACTGATGTTTCGGGATGTGTGTGTGTTTGTTTTTTCCTCAGATCACAGCTTCACCATGTACCCTCCCTCCATGATCGCTACAGGATGTGTGGGGGCAGCAGTATGTGGCCTCCAGCCTGACCAGAGCAATCAGAATCTGTGGGGGGACAATCTGACGGAGCTGCTGGCTAAAATCACCCACACTGAGGTGGTAAGTGTCCAGCAACATCGTTGTACAGTAATCCATTCATTCTGTGACATTTTATGAAAGAACAACATCCTGATGACCTGATGAAAAAAGTTTTTTTATATATATATATTTTAGTTTCAGTTAACATTTTAATTTAAGTTATTCATAATATATATATATATATATATATATATAGAACAGAAATGAAAATTCTTGTATATTATTTTTTTTTAATGGTTTTAGTTTGGGTTAACCCTCATGATAATTTTCTGATTCCAGATGTTTCAAGAGGTTAATGTTCATCAGTAAAAATAGTTGTGGAGGGGTTAAAATAATAATAATAAAAAACAAATAAACAAAAATATCAATTTACATCTTCTTTTTTATGTTTTAGCATTTTAATTTAGATTTAGATTATTTTAATACATTAATAATATACTAAAATAATAATTATAATTTATTATAATAATGTATTATGATTAATACAATAATAATTTATTACTTAAAACACAAGTTTGCTGAGGCCCCCTGTTTGAGAAACACTGTTCTAGAGACTCAGAGCAATTATTAAATTATAGTTTAGCATTGTCAGTTTTCCATACTGAAGTCAATTTTGCCTGTGTCAAACGGTGGGCATAGCAGACATGTGCGTGTGCTGGAAATTCATGCATGACTATGGAAATGGAGAAATGTGTTATGAATGAGTGTTTGTGTGTGTTCACTGCAGCAATGGTGGTGTGTTTTCAGAGCTGCATACTTGTGGCGAGACACAGGCCTCTCAACCACATCTGTGGATTAAAGTGCAATGTTACACACACACACACACACACACTCAGGCTCTTACACAAACGTACACATCTTGGCTTCAGGCTGTTTTGAAAGTCTCACAGTAAAACTTTTTTGAATTGGACCCAGAGAGGGAACGCCCCATTTAAACTCCTCACATGCACTCATGAGATTTAACACATTCTTTTCTCACCACTCAATGTAATGTTTTAAGTTTTTTCTCCACCTTAAGTTCTGGAAAAAACACCACATACTGCTGTTAGCAACCATTCCTTCCTGTGCCTGTAGTTGCCAGGACAACAGGGCCTGTTGTGGCCATTTCATTCAGTCTTGGGAGAGAACAGGTTTTAATTATCCTGAGAAAAAGATGAGAGTTTGATACGGGATCATTCCGTCAGACCTCCCACGTTTCTGCAGAAAGAGACAGAGACAGAAGTCAGTTTTCTTTGAAAAAATAAAGGTTCCAAAAGGGTTTTTTTGCAGCGATGCCATAGGAGAACCATTTTTGGTTCCTCAAAGAACCAATCAGTGAACAGCTAAAAGCTGAACCATTTTTCTTAATGTGAAGAACATTTAAAAAAACAACAAAAAATTGTCTGCAATAAAGAACCTTTAAAGGTTCTATGGATGTTAAAGGTTTTTCTTGGAACCATCAATGCCAATAAAGAACTTTCATTTTTAAGAGTGTATATAGTCCTGCAAAGTGTAAAGTCTGAACCAGTTTGCAGCTTCATTTTGCCTAAGAACTGCCCACTTAGACAGAAAAAAAATCTGTCTGACCGACATGAGAAAAACAACAGTTTGTTTCATTTAATGTGGTGTGAAGGGGCGTGTGAATCTGAAATACACTGTTAGCATGATTTTTTACATTTGTAAAAACAGCACAGATTACTGAAGTAAAAGAAAGTACTGTTTCAAAATGTAATGTTTAATGTTGCTTGCAATTTCTTTGTAATTAATTGAGAAATGTACTAGCAGTTTCTAAAGGAAAATATTTCAAAGTAAATCCTACACCCACTTTTTTCAGTTTAGTTACCACAATAATCATGGACAAATCATTGAAGTAATTGCACAACCGATTTATTTTGGGTTCAAGTGAACAGTTCTTAAAAGAACCATTTTTTGTTTGTGTTAAGAACAGTGTAATAATCTAAAAAACCTTATTCCACTACAAAGAGCATTTTGTGCAATGGAAAGATTCCATGGATGTTAAAGGTTCTTTATTGGAATCGATGGTGAAGAACCTTACACTAAGAAAGAAAATGGTTCTTTTAAGAACTGTTCACTGAAAGGTTCTTTGGGAAACACAAAATGGTACATGGCATCACTGCAAAAACCCTCTTTGGAACCTTTATTTTTAAGAGTGTATGTCAGTACGCAGTGCCTTCTGAGGCTGACGCTAGTGTGCATAGTGCTTACCTTGCTCCTTCTTCTTCTCTCTCTTTCTCTCATTCATCTAGGACTGTCTGAAATCATGTCAAGAGCAGATCGAGCAGTTACTGACCAGCAGCCTGAAAGAAAGTCAACAACAGCAACAGGAGGGCAGAGTCAGCAACAAAGGGACGCAATCTCAAAACCTGTCCTGCACCCCTACAGATGTCCGTGATGTTAACTTATGATGTCGGTTCCTGTTCCTATTCACCTCCTTAGCCTACAAAACATTCAGTTATCATTATATTACTGTATGTAAATTGAATTTCAAAGCCACATTAGATGGTTATACGCGCATAGTATATGAACGCAAGCTTGATATTTTATAACGGAGCAAAACAGCTGCTGCTGCCGTCTCATATCCGCAGGCGGTGGCGTTTTACATACTTGAAATTTAATTGAATTGGCCTCATACCATGATTGAATAATGCAGTATGTTGTATATTATTTAACAAAGAGCACACATCTGTTTTGGCTATCATATGCAACTGTATTATTATTATAATTGATGTGGTTATTTAATAATTATAATAATAATACCTATTATTATTAAAAATAGTATGCTTTTTATCTTATAAAATGTATTTCCTTAGTAATTCCCAGAGGCCATTTTTTTAAATCTAATATAGGAAGCATGTGATCCCACAAAAATGCTATTCTACAGAATGGATAGAAGGATCCATCAGTCCTTTCAGTGGGATCCGTTTCTTATCATAGAGATATTAATACAATGATCTGAAGAGTTACTTCTCAGATACAAGTAACTCTTGGGGATTATTTACAGTGAATGTTATTGCATGCAATAAGCATAAATGAATATATGTTAAACAGTTTCTATCCATGCATGGTGACCATCACAGCTTCATGAGCACACATGACAGTTTCAGATGGACACTAAGTATGTAGTGAAGGTGGAGTAAAGATGAGGTAGGGAAGGGAGGAAAGAAAGAGGCGAATCGAAGAATACAGATTGAAAGATTTTGCACGTGATTGAAATGAATAAGTGTGAAGCTGTTCGCTCTTTTGACCTGTTTAAACACCATCACTTGTGGGCTAGAGACACTCGCTATATGCTGGAGGGATTTAATCATTTGGGAGTCTTAAAATCCTTCTTAGCAAAGATGATACAAATGCACTTTCAGATATCACCTCTCGCTGGTTATCCGTGGTATACAAGAGGAGGGCGAATAAATCTAAAGGGTTTTATTTGATTAGATTTTTTGCATTGTTTTTCTTAAGTTATTTTTGTTTTGGGGCTGGTTTCCCATATTAGCTGTGCCTTGCGGGTTATAGTGCGGGTAATTTAGACCAATAAATTTAGACCAAAAACTGATCTAACAGTCAACTGCTGATAGAAACGGTGAGGTTTGACATGCCAAGATTGGTTGCGTTTTACTTTAGTTGTGTTGAATTCATGTCAGCATAGATAGGACATCATCAAATTTCATTAAATCACTTTATTTTATTCATTTATTTTATTTCCTGTTCTCAAAATATCAGCCATTTATACTTGAACCTTTCTCATATATAGGAAAAAGATATGTTGAAACATTACGCTATTTTCCTTTCTATGTCTTCATTAGTTTGTTCTTGCACTTTTGAAAATTGATTTCACAAGTCAGTCCTCTTTATATTAGTGGACCTAAAAGTAAGGAGGTTTGAGATGTTTACTTCAAATATATTAAGTGTTGTGCTGACATCAACGTGCCATTCCAACACATGTATGCAAATGATGTTTTGAGTGTTTTTCAAACAAAGTTCATTTTCAGTGTTCACCCATTTAAGTTTTAAAAGAGTTTGTGTGCTATTATATCCTTAAGTTCAGTTTGTGTTCTCCCCATTCCTTTATTTCTGTGTAAATGTTTGAACTTGTGTTCCAGTGCTGCTAAAAGAAAAATGAAAAAAGAGCTAATGCATACCTTAATTTCGGTTTCCATGTTGCTGCTATATCAGAATTATTGAACGTGTTTTCATGGTAGCTGCATGTCTGTTTTCTGTTTGCATTTACACTGTCTATTATTTTCATGCATGAAGTGCCTTGGCAGTTACTTGCAGATATTTGCATGAACAGTCTTGCATCATTTGTGTTTAATCTAACTCAACTGTTGTCTGACTTCTTTTTCTAGCCATTATATTACTTTGTGTAATGAAACGCCTTTATTCTTTTCAAATAATGTTCCTGCCCAGTCACAATACCTCACAGCACTTCAGTCAGGAAGTTTGTAGAAGAGCAGCAGGATTGAAAAGATTAAGCCTGTGTTGAGGTTAAGCCTCCAGGTTTGTTCTTTTATGAACTTGTCAGATACACACTCACCAAACAGCTGTAAATGTATTTTCTTATCAGGTGGTTGATGTAAGACTGGGGCAACGCATCGTTTAGACACAAAATACTGTTTTTAATTTTTTTTTTTATTATATTGAAGCAGCCACCTTTTGTTGAAAGTTCCACCTCCACCTCCACAAATATCCATTTCAGCAATATCGTCATTTTCATTTTTGCCCTAGAACACTTATCTTCAATTATCAGACATTCAATAAATCTCAATTTGAAAAATAAAAACTGTGTTCAGTTTCTGTGGTGATTCATGTGAATTAGACATAACCGTCTCCATCTTTGACACAGCTGTGGTCTCATGCAAGAGGCTTTACTCTTCAATTTAAAGTTATATTTAATTCTCAAATGGGAATTATGGGTTGAACCGTGTCTTTCTGACCCCTGCTGCTTAGAAGAGAGGTTGCAGGGAGTTTGTGGTTTTATATGCAGCTTTGCCTTTAACGTCATGTAATTAATTATATATAGTATTATAACTGATTAATATAAATATTTGTTATTATTTTAAACTTCGTAAGATTTTTAATTCATATGAAAAGCAATTGCACTTTTCTGACACATCTGAGTGCGCACACACACACACAAACAAACTGTTTTTCGATCTTCATATCAATTATCACGAAATTATAATAAAAATTCACATCTATATGTCGGGGTAAGCCATTAACTATTTTTCTACATATAATTTTCTTATCTGAGGCATGTTTAGGCCACACTGTGCCGAGAGACTTTTATTTTGAAATGCCATCCGACAGTAATTTATTTGCTGCTCTTTTCACTCTGTTGGTATATTTGAGTGTTTCTGTGTTTAAACCTCATACTTTACCGCGTTCATGGAGGGCTGATGCAGAGGAAGTATGTATCAAATCACCTTTTAAACGACTTTTTGTAAAGTTTAGAAACTATTTACCCATTAAAAAAAGCTGTATTTTTTCGTATTTTGTTAATTGTCGTGCGAGAGTCTCCTCGTGCTATATGGCTCATATGATGTAACTGAACATTATAGCTGGCTAACATGGATTATAATACTAATAACATGTCACAATCACAACTGACTGTATATAGTTTTGTTCGCTTTACACACAAAAGCATTGCAGTGTTATTCGAGTCGTTCAGATGCTTTGGAATCCATTATGTGGCTGCTGATATTGTCTGTTTACACTTTCTGTTTCATTATGAAAGCTTATGGTTTGGTAGAGGATCAAGCGCAGATATGACATTAAAGGACGGCATGACCTCCCTCATCGACAAGACCTTAAAGCTGAGGAGGGAGGAACAGGCTCGACAGGTTGTCCTGGCATGGGCCGTGCTGAATGTGTCTCTGGCTGGGATGATCTATACTGAGATGTGAGTTCAGATATGCCCCTAATAGTCCCTAATGTGATTTTAGTGTCTTCTAAACCACGGGTAACCAAGTCACCTTGTCTCATAGGTCTGGAAATCTTCTTAGCAGATGCTACAACATAACCTACTGGCCCATCTGGTATATTGGTAAGTGTATAATAAGAGCTCCAAGCGTGTCAGTGATCTGGTATGTTATTTTTCATCTGACTGGTTTTGTTGGACAGAGCTTGCCCTGGCTTCCCTGTTCAGTCTCAATGCCCTTTTTGACTTCTGGAAGTATTTCAAGTACACTATGGCCCCGTCCACGATCACCGTCAGTCCAGAACAACATCAACTACTTGGACTCAGGGGTTCAGGTGAGTTAACTGGTATCTGGAAAGAAATGTTTCGGGTAAAAACAATCATGCAAAATACCATTTCTCACCGAAAAAACAATTCTTGCATGCATTTATACTGCCCAGTAGCATAATTGCTTAATGAAGGCTGATTACAAAAATAGCTGTTTTGCTCTAGCATGGCTCACTTTCTCACAGAATATGATATATTTAGTAGCACTTATGCTTTCAACAACCATTGTAAGGTGAAGAAGTCTGGTATTATCACTTAATCACCAGAAAAACTGCCACAAAGACATGATTCCCATCTTCCTCGTAGTCATTTCTCAGATAATTTTCACATGTATGGATGATTAATTTTTTATGCCGAATCCTGATTTCAATGTTAGAATATACAGCCAGTGACAGAAGAAAGTGCAAACAGGTGTTTTCTGCTACAACAGTGGGTTTTACTACATCCAAACAGCAACAGAAAATGACAGAGTTTGTGGGGAAAAAACTTTTTCCACTCCTTAATGATTAAAATAAATAATAATAAAATGCATAAATAATACAATAATTATATAATAACAAACAAACAAACAAATGTTATTTATTATAATTAAAATTATTATTACATAATAAAGAATAAATAATTCTATAAAAATATTTTTCAAATCGCCAGATTTTTCCCAAGATGAAGGACTGTGTAATGAACCGATTGGATTTGCTTTAAAAATATTTAGTCTGTTGCTTTGGTATTGGTGGAAACTAATCCTTCATTGCTGTGTTAACAGGGATTCAAGCTTCTCCACCTCAGAAACAAGAGAAGAAAGAAGCTCCAGTCTCAGTCCAGTCGTCGCCCCTGCAGGGACAGAATGTACTCAGTTTTAGCCCTGTGCGAACCTCAAGCACCAGCCCTAAGTTCTCCCCCAGCTGTGTGTCTGGGTTCAGTCCACCTCTGAGCAGCCCTTCTTCGTCAGGAGGACCCTTCTCACCCTCCATGGCATTCGGCAAGGTTGAGTACTTTAAAAAGTTTCTTTAAAATTGTATTGTTGATATTCTATTCCGTTCACACACCCACTGCATTTCCTTTCTTGCTTTTTATGTCTGCAGGTGTTGAACTATAGTCCATCTCCAGGCTCTTCTCTGTACCCAAGCAACTTCGGACCAGCAGAGGTCACCAGTCTCCGCGCTCGGTACCGCACATCCCCGTCAGTCTTTAATTCGCCCGGAGGTAAGGAGGACTGCATCGATGACCTGAAGACTTTGGAGAAGTTTTTACATTCGGAGGAGGAAAAAAGCCACCGCAGTCAATTGGGTAAGAGTCCTGCATGGACACAAAGGTGTTGAATCAAACTGTGGCTGTGCTAAGCAGTGGCCTACAACATTTTCTTTGCAATATTTTCTTATTTAGGGAGTCCAGAGTCAACATCTCCAAGACACAGTCCATCGTTCTGGAACTACAGTCGTTCGGTGGGAGATTATGCACAAAGCCTGAGGAAGTTTCAGTATCAGCCGGCCTGCCGTTCACAGGCACCGTCTGCCCATAAAGACGACACGGAGCTGGGCTCTAAACAAGCCGCTGAAGAGGTGAGGATCAAATTAATTCAAGATATCAAATCATCTTTGTTTATTTTGTTTGTATTATTTGTAAGTTTTTATTTATACTTTTTTTTTTTTTTTTTGAGTATTTTAAAGTAGATTTTTCCAATTTATTACAGGTCTGGGCAAGAATCACGACGAGTCGTGTGGTGACAGATAGTATTGACAGCTGGACTGCTAAACTGAGAAATGTGAGTCCAAATTAATTAATTAGTATTATTATTATTAATAATGTATAAAATGGAGATTATTATTAATTTAGTTTTTTTTCAGTATTTATTTCTTCTTTATTACTCATTTTTATTCTTTATTATTATACATTTTATTGTTTATATTATTTATTGTTTTTATACATTTAATTGTTTATTTATATTATTATTATTATTATTATTATTATCTATTTATTTATTTATAAGTTTTTCTTTTGAGCCATGAAGTTGCCGTATTTTTCTCTTTCTACTTATTCCAGTGGATAAATGACACCATTCTAGTTAATCTGGTCAGAGAGATGGACTCGGTCAACAGTCAGCTCAGGAGGATGGGTTGCCCTGAGCTCCAGATCGGAGGTAACTGTCTTTTCTGCCAAAGATATTTAGACGTAAACGTTTCCATTATGTCTCACTTCTGTTGCCTTTGTTTCGTGAAGAGGCCAGTATCAGCAGTCTCAAACAAGCTGCTGTGGTCAGAGCTTCTGCAATCCACACCCTCAATGCTATTGTACAGTATCTGGATGTCTCACCAAACCAGGAGTATCTTGTGGAGAGAATCAAGGGTGAGCAGAATACACAACTGGGATTAAACATAATAAATATTTAGATTTACCGTGGTTCTGTCTCATGAACCGAGATGATGCTAATGTTCATTTGTATCAATGCTCTTGCAGAACTAGCCCACAGTGGCTGCATGAGCTCTTTCCGCTGGAATGGAGGAGGAGATCTGAAAAACCGGAAATGGGACACAGACCCTCCGACAGATTCTGCTGTGTGTTCTTCCAAACATTTGCAGCATTTGAATGCCATGTTACCAATGCATTGCAGTTTAGATGAGAGCATAAAAAATAATATTGATGCATTGCTTTTACTTTTACTCTACACTGATGCAAACACTTTGACGAACACAGATCCTGATGCATGTGCTATGTACGTACCTGGACTCGCGGCTTCCTCCACATCCTAAGTATCCCGACGGAAAAACCTTTACGTCCCAGCATTTTATACAGACGCCTGATAAACCAGGTATGCATAGACTGTGTTAAATTGAGTTTTATACCAGTGTTATTTTAGCATAATTGAGATACTGTTATAGTTTTTAATAAGATTTCGAATTAGTTTTAATATTTTAGTTTTAATTAAATTTTTTTGTCATTTTGTTTTGCACTTTTGACATTTTTTTATTTTTGTTGATATTTAAATGTTTATATAGTTTTTTTAAAATAATTTTTCATTTTGGTTAAATCAAGCTAAACTACATGAATGTGTATATTATTTTGTATTCAATGTTTTCATTAACTATAATAACCCCTTTTTATACAGCCTGTTTAATCTATGAATCTATTTCTAACAGACGTGTCCAATGAGAACCTGTTTTGCATTCATCAAAGTAGCACAAACCCTCCTCATTATCAGCTCGTCTACCAGGGCCACATCTACAGCTTGCCTAAGGTAAGGACATAGTCTCCAACCATAATTACAGTGGAGTAACTTTTCTGTGATTAATGCTTGATTGTGTTTCCACAGGGCAGAAATAACTTGTTTCATACCATCCTGATGTTTCTCTACATTATCAAAACCAAGGAGTCAGGCATGCTGGGGTGAGTGATGATCTATCATGTTATCTGTGATCTGCATCGTTTTAAGGAATTTTGTAGCTAGGATAGTTGTTTCTGTTTTTGGTTCGCTATTTGGATCCTGAAAGTATGTTCTAAATTGACGTACGAAATGGATGAAACCATTGCCCCCTTTTTTTGTACCAGGAGAGTGAATCTAGGTCTTTCGGGAGTGAATGTACTCTGGATCTTCGGGGACTGAGTTTGTCAACTTATCCGAGGAAAACACTGCACAAGCCTTGGGATGTGATAAAGATGTTTTTTTAACTTTTATATTCTTGTGATGTTGCATGTTTTTGAGATGCATTGTACTGTCACATTACTTGCAACCTTAAAGGCCTTAAACACAAAGTCATTTTAGCTGAAGAAACAGTGTCAGAATGGATCTTGTTCCACTGGATTTTGTATACATATTTTTTGTCTTTCATTACATATCATACAAGAAAAACAATGTAGTTATTCATGAATGTAAATTCTTCATGGTAAGTTTGGATGGGTGGACACTGCAGAAGTTATGATTTTTTATGAGTTATGAAGCAGTTATTGATCGTTTTTCTTCATGCACTTGAAATGACATGCAACCATGAAAGCATAAGTCATATGTACTTTTAATAATGATAATTTATTTGCTCTCAGTGACGGGCTTACCTTATTTCTCTTCACTGTTATTTTGACAAAATACAGAAGAGCTGGGATGAAAGATGATCCCGATCTTGAATGCCAAATTACATATTCGACAAGAAATGTTTGTTGTTTGTATTTTATATTGTGTCTGAAGTGAAACTTGAAATGAAATGAGCTTCCACTTTTGTCCTTGGTTTTCAAATTAATAAATGCCCAGCATTGTTCTTATATATATATATATATATATATATTTTTTTTTAAACTCTATTCCCAGTGTTAACCACTGGATGGTAGTGCTGCCCACCTACAAATGGTTATAAATGTTAAGAATATATGTGTGTAATTTTAATATTTTATAAAAGCTTTTATAGCAGTTTCACTGGTACTGCAACTTAAATTTCCTAGAATGCCAATTGTAATGTATGAGAGAATATAAGAAATGTTTTAAGAAGTCTTACAAATAATTGACAGTGGTCAAGCTGAATAAAAACATGGTAAAGCCGTGCTATCACTGGAAGTACCTTCTAAATACCACATGATAATTATTCGGCACCATGCATGGTATTAGCATCTGTTGCCATCGCTGTACATTTGTAGTGCTGCAGTACTTTTTGTGAGGTCAAAGTTATAGTTGTGTTTGGTATAAAATAAAAGTACAATAGTAGTTATTATCATACGGAAATAATATAATGTAGTGTTTGAAGTTTAAATAAATGGGGAAAAAATCCCTAATATTAGTACTGCTACCGTTTGCTATTATTATCCATGCGTAACAAGATGCGTAACAGACGCTCTGGTAACGTGAACTGCATTTCCCATGGTGCTTTGCGCCGCGCGTCATCCCATCGTGCGTATCCGTTCGTGTGTCGTTTCTCTCTCTGTTGGAAAAAAAAAACCTCAGTGCGGTTCGCAGCGATGTCAGTCCAGACTGTGGCAGCGAAAATGGCCGAGGTCGAATTAAAAGACGTGGTCGGTAAAGCCGCTTCCCCCGCCATATCTCCGCTGACACCTAAAGCAGAGGAGAAGAAGAGTGAAAGTAACTCTACTTCGCCAGCAGCGGCAGCGGCCGTGACGGTTGAGCCGAGCCCGGTGACCACCGCTCCGAACCCCGTGAAGATGCCGCAGGCGTCCGCGATGAAGCGGCCGGACCCGCAGCTGAACGGCGGCGAGGCGTTTGTCAACTACGACGGCACCGTGGCCGAGGCACCGCGAATGAAAAAGGTAACATGGGCTGCTTGTGCCGAAATCAGTGATGGAGCCAGTTTTGAACCGTTCATCCGCTGTCGTGTGTCATTGTGCAGCGATGATTCCTGGCCTATAAAACCTTTACTAGCAGCGTAACAGCTGTACATTCACGTTCATTTACCTCCAGCTGTCCGGGGAAGATCGGTGACAGATCTACCGAGTGCTTTCACTGGGGTTTTGATCGGATCGCGTTGTTTTCGAGCTCGTGAGTGATTGTCTCAGAGACCCGCACTGCGCGTGTCGTGGCCGTGGACTGCGTGCGTTTATCCGGGTCAAAACATACCGTTCCAAAACATATATCGTGCTTGAAATTGTAACACTTTTATAATAACTTTAATTATGAATTCACTCGCAGATTATGTAATGCTTTAGACGAGCAGTTGTATGCAGTTTAATTGGATTGCAATTTCATTGAATAGTTTGATTGTACATGATTTAAGCAATACTTAATGTAATCAGGGTTGATATTTATCTTAATGACAGTTATGTAAAGTAACCCAAGTTTTTTTTATTGTTATTTAAAGTGTGTTGTAGTTCCATTTGTGATATGATCTTCAAGATAAAAAAGCAATTTGAGAATCCTTCAGATTTATCTTTATGTGAAGATTGTGATCAGCTATGAATTGATACTGCAGTGTTGGTTAAGATTGTTTATATTCGTTTCAGTTGCAGTTTTTCTTGTATAGCATTATTAGCATACAAGTCAGCACTTCCTCTGCATGTAAATAGAAATATCTAGTTTTGCTTTTAACTTTCAAAGCGGAGAAAGGTGTTGTTTGAGTGTGTGCAGGTCAGTTTTGTGGCATTTGAAGTTAGCAGTATTGGAGCAAGGCCGGTGAAATGGTTGTGGCTGATTGCTTGAGTATTTTTCCAGTTCTCTGTTATGATTAGGTTGCTTTGTCCGTGTGTCCTGATTGACGATGTGGTCATTTGAAATGTCATTTCATTTCCCTATTCACAAGCAATGTCAGATTTGATGTGAGGAAACAGACTTTGTATGGCTTGATATAACTTGAGAACTGTCACTCTTCTATTATGTGTCGGTCTCTCTATCATGAGCTTTGTGTGGCCAGAGCTAGATTAGGTAATTGTGGGAATTTGCCGGTTCACTCCATGGAGCGTCTCTTTGACTCTTATCTGGCTTGACCGTTCCTTGGAAGGACTTAACAGAGACTGTGTTCTCGACGAATCTCTTATCAATAAATGAATATCTTCTTTATCTTATCTTGGCTGACAAAATGAAGATGGCATACAGTTCAAGGATAAAAGATTTTGATACAGAGATTTACTTTTATTATTACTGTTATCATTTGCCAAGGATTTAATGCAGAACGAGCCATAACATGACATTTGGATGTCCTTATATATTTATTCTTTGACAAAATTATTTTTTTCAAGCACTAGTGCATTGAATTGTATTGTATACAAATTTATTATTATTATTATTTGATTTTTTTTAATCCACATAAATAAATATATATATATAGATATGTATATGTATTTTTATTTTATTTTAGTTTTTGATTGATTATTTCATTTTAAGGCCAAGCGCATGGTTTTTATTTTTTATATTTTCTGTTTTCATTTTAATTTTAGTAATTTTGTTATGTGCTTTTGTCATTTTTATTTTTTATATTTAGCTTTAATTTATTAATGTTTTAGTGCTAGAGCATTTAATATTTCAACTTAAACTTATTTCAGTTAGTTGCCAAGGCAACATTTCTAATTTCCATTCACTTTTTTTTTATTTTTTTTTTATGATTATTTAAAAAAAAATTAAATCTGCACGCATATATTATTTTGATTCATAGTTGTTTCTTTTTTAAGGCTAAGTGCATAGCTTTCACTTGTATTGTAAAGAAAAAGGAAGCAGGGTTATTAATTTTAGTGCTATTGTGATACTAATATAGTTTTTATTCCTATGTTGAGTTAGTTTTTATTTTTATATATTTTTTTCATTTTAATTTTAGTAATTCAGTAGTTTTGTTGTCTCTTGTAATTTTTTATTAGTTTTTGTTTTAAATATGCCTATTCATTTTAATTTCAGTTTGTTATTTTAGTACATCGAGATAAACAAAGTCAAAATCAGTGTTTCTTTGGTGACTAGCTGAAATTAAATAAGTGTTTATATATACATTATTTTAAGTAATTTTTTTTTCAAGTGACAAAAATGTAACTTATTTTAAGTTAACTATAATAACCTTGTTTCTAAGTGTGGACGGTGTCTGGTGAATATCAACAGGCTCCGTTCTTAGCAGTGTAACTCTGGACGTTTGACAGGTGATGAACCATAGTGGGTTTAGATGATCTCTAGTGGGGTTGGTCACATCCCAGAAAAACTCTTTTATGCCACTCGTCTATCCTGAAGGTGCTGGTGTGATGCTTTCAGTGCATTGTTACTTTATCTGCCTTGTTTCTAAGAAAAAAAAAACTCTTTAGCCACCCATAAAGCTGGCTTGCTGTTCATCTGTAAAACTGTTACATCACGCTACTGTTGCTTCTGTAAAGTAGCTGAGAGGAGGGGAGGGCAGTGACATGTCCCGCAGCGGGATCTCTAATGCAGGCCTGTCCATGTCATCGCGTCATGTAGGTTCAAACGTGGGTAGTTTGACTAAGGATGGTTGAGACCTCAGTGAACATTCGCACCACTGGATTTGAGGGTGTAGAGGGGAACCAGGGTGCTGATAGACGTGTTCACGCTGCTGTTTGGCATCAGATTCAGGCATGAGCTTTGTGCATACCTTGCACTGTTGTGGCATTATGTCAGTAAAGCTTTTGTTCCCAGGATTCTTAGACCTAACAGGCTTATGACGTGAATCACGTGATGCAGATAATAGGGGGAAGCCCTGTACATGACTATTGCATATGGTTCAGTGCGGGTTATATATAAGCTGGTTTATTTATAGTAAATGTTAATAATGTGAACTATGTAATGATTCAGCCTAAATAAGTGTTAGAGGTTGGTGATAAAATTCAGAATAAGATAAGGATAAGTTGTTTTTAGAGCAATAGAAATGTAACAGTAACAGCTGTAAGCAGTGTTGTTATTGTTAACTAAAAATATAAAAAATGTTTTAAAGCTAAAAATTAAATAAAGCTAAAATAAAATATACATTTACGATGAAAAACCTACAATTAAAGTTAAATGGAAATTAGAAATTAAGAACTAAAATAAGAAGTTGAAGTACTACATTTACTAAAACTGAAATAAAAATAAATTCAAACTAAATATAAAAATGGAAATTTATAAAAATAGAAAAAGCACATCACAAAATTATTCAAATTAAAATAATAACTGAAAATATACATTAATATTATAATAGTATAAATAATTACACTGGTAAGTTGTGAAGAGATTGTGAGTTGTTTACATTCACTTTGAAAGTTTAAACTGTAAAGTTTAATCTGAAACTTAGTAAAACTAAAATAAAAAAGTAAATTAAAGTTAAATAGAAAAAATATTAAATTTAAATATTATAATAATATATAAATAATCATAAAACAACAATGGCAGTCAGTTGTGGAGAGCTAGTGAATCGTTTGCATGCACTTTAAAAGTTAAATGAAAATTACACAAAAAAAACACTGGGTTAAAAACAACCCTAATTGGGGTTGGGCTGGATAAATATAGGACAGAACACATGTTGGGTTAATTTTACCCAGCAAATTGGGTTGTTTATTTAACCCAGCATAATGGGTTGATTCGTTTTTACTACTAGCTTATTTTTTACTTCATATATGAAATCATGTTGAACTTAAATCCTCTAAACTTGTGTAAAATACTCCACACAACCACTGGTTTGCATGGTAACTTCCCTTGTTTTCCTTTATTTATATCATTTACAGCATTGTTTATATAATTTAATATTTAGGCTATTGCCTATATTTGAACTTGTTTAACAAACATTAGAAGTAAAAATTCAATATTAAACAGATGTAATTCACGTGCAATCGACCAGTCTCTGTTATTCTGTTTCCCCCGTAACGGCGCTGGTTCTCGTGCCCGAGATGGAATCATGTTCGGCAGGGAACTGCTAACTTCACACCGCGCGCCTGTATGATGCTTTGCATACAATTTTACGATATACAGCACAGTAACGATTTTATAGATAACACAAAATGTACACACACCTGTATTTTACCAAAGAAATGCATCGATTTGATGGCACTTTGAACTGCTCTCTCCTGAAGAGGACGCAAAATCCCCGCAATAAATAACTGGGGTATCACTGGGGTATGTCTGACCCAGGATCTGAGTGACACTAAAACTACTCAAACACTGAAAAAATTACCCAAAAGGCCCAACCCAGCATTTGGGTTAAAAAAATAACCCAGGATTTTTTTTTAGAGTGTTGGCCTTGGCAACTGACTAAAATAAAAAGTATAGGTTGCACTACAAAACTTACTAAAACTAAACTGAAATAAAAAATAATAATTAAAGCTAAATAGGAAGAACCAATAAAAACAACAA